GGTTGCAGCACTAGGTTTATGGTGTTTGCTGCTCGTCAGTTGTAGTAGATGTGTAGAGAACGACACCAGCTGTTGTAATCGCTTTTTGTTGAGTTCACCAAGGCATTTGATACGGCGAACCGCGAGGCATTGTGGCTGGTGTTTGGCATGATTGATTAACCTTGTAAATTTGCACTTTTACTTGAATGTCTGCACAGTGGCATGCTGCCGATGGTGCAGCTGCGTGGAGAGACCTCGGACGACGTTGCAGTTACCTCTGGTGTGGAGCAAGGCTGGGTCTTAGCTCCAGCCCAGTTTGATATATATCTTCATGCAATTATGTCTTGTGCTTACCGTGTTCACGTGGAGCACACTACTGTTGGTGAGTTTCTGAACATCCGTCTATTCGGTGCCATAATGTGTGAGACAATTATCCGAATGTATTTTTCTGCTGACCATTAGACGTTGTTTGCACACACCGCGAATGAGTTGCAGCATATGACTAGGACTCTGGTTTAAACAGCTGCCAAATTCGGGCTCACCATCAACACAAACAATATCATCTCTCAAGTTCAAACTTCACCGGAGGTGCAATCTTCAATATTGCCCGTAATCAGCATTGGTGCTGCCGCTTCTGCTACCTTGGGAGTGTGATGTCGACTGACCAGCATCTAAACAATGACCTTCTTATCCGCGTCCCAAAGACAATGAAGGCCTTGGGGTGGCTAGAGTACCAAGTGTGTGGAACAATCATCAGCTTATCACTGGCACGAAGCTGATGGTGTAAAAACCCATGGTTCTGTCCGTTCGTCTATACAGCAGCAAAGAAAGGACGATATACCGGCGAGCTCTGAGATATCTCCAGTAATTCCATTAAGTGTTTGCGGAGGATTTTGAGCATCGGATGAGAGCACAGAGTTGCGGACACGAAAGTGTTGTGCCATAGTGCAATGTATGCAGTGGACTGTATACTTTTGCTGAGACACCTCAAGTGGATCGGTCATGTGTGGCGTATGGATTCGACGCGAATACCGAAACAGCTATTATATGGTCAGCTAAATTTAGGAAGCAGCATGCAGGGCAACCGAAGCTTCGTTACCAGGACATGATCAACGTGAGCTTCTCACCTTATACACATGATTGCAGGTCATGGTAATCGAAGGCGGTTGATCGGCGTGCATGGCTCGAGCTGATCACGAAGGCCGTTGCGGAGGTGCAAGAGAACGACCTCATGCATGCAGAGAAAAAGCGGCAATTTCGGAAGCGGCTCTCGCTGCTGTATTGTACTCTATCGACACCGAGCGATGGTGCTGGAGCACATGCGGTAGCCAGGGTCTGAGTCAGGAAGGCCTAGTGAGCCATGAGCGAGGCCAGTCGGCGGAAGCACCGAAAAGAAGATGGGTTTCTGCAGAAAACGTAGGAAGAACAGGCGCAGCGTTTGTAGAGACCCTGCATTCGATTTAACAACCGCGTGATTGCATGCTGGGTCTCTTTAATTCAGGAGGTGATTTTGCCATATTTTCTTAATAATATATACGTGAACTATCTTCTATTAACTTGCACACGTCATTCAAGTTAATTGCAGTTAACTTTGATAACATATTCACGTTTGTGGCATTTGCTAAAAATAAATCTTTTGACGCCTTTCACCTATCGCGGGTATCTTGTCTACCGATTTATTTCATATGCTAATTTATTGAAGAGCTGTGTCGTCATATCTATATGCATTATTGACTTTATTTCATTGTTATAGTCGTTTCAAATTATTGGCTGTAGCTGGATATTCCCGGTTTCGCTTCGCTTGATGTGTAAGATGACAAGGTTTCTACCCCTCTATTACCCACTAGATCGTCCATACTGGCTCCAGGAGACAGTTGGCGGTTGCATGTGGGGACCGAGACCACGGTCCTTGTGGACGTGCTAGACTCGAAGAGTGGTTCCAATCACTCAGTGTGGAGCGGACTACGGTCCAGCCACTACCTTGTGTGCAATTGATTCACAAATACAACGTGGTTGAGTTTGCATATGAAGGACTGTGGGCCGGCTCCGCTGATGAAACCTGGCTCCCATCTACATGGTCCCAGGTCCTTATTCCTTCGTTTTTTCACTGCTTATAGAGGGTGTGGTTGGAGCTGTGTGTGGTGTAGCTCAAACCACCGATGCACTCTCTGTAGGCGCAGACTTCCTTTGGCTGGTCACAGTGCGAGGTAACTCCGAAAGCAGTTGCCTCCAACAAAGTTGAAATTTGGTTGGCAGGTGTATCCGGAAGACAACAGTTTTCTAACAACCTCAAAATAGCACCTAACTCTGCGTGGCAAATCAGATACGCTAGTGGAGTTTTGAGTGCCGCACTGCTTCGTATAGTTGCGTATTTCGGGCCCGCACCTGTCATCCGATTTTTTAAGGCAGTTAGTCGATGATAGATTTGTGTTTATATCACCAAAATTTCTGGGGGTGCACCTAGGCCTGTGTGTCTGTTTTGCGGTACATTCAATTGGTTCCCATGAATTAGCCGTTACCCCTTTTTCAGCCTGTAATTATTAAGCCGAATGATTTCGGAGCGATGGCACCGTGGTCTGCGCTAATCGCGTCGATTGAATTCGGCTGTCCAACAGTAGCTTTGAGATAGGTAGGACAGAGTACTCGGATGTTAGCACTACTAGGTACGAGTTGTCGAGATTCATGCCAATCGTTCCGGTTACCCCAATCAGTGTACGGTTTGATGTGGAATTTTATGCGGTTTATTAGCACACCTGCTACCGCTTTTAAGCAATTCGGTGTCAATTGTTGAAGGGATTGTTGCAAAATCGGACAAGTTGGCTTAATCAGCATTCAGTTATGATGTTTTGGTTGTGCAAAGAAGCGATATTCCCATTTTTCTACGCTTAAAATGTAATAACGACCGGACCGCAGTTCCTCGGTGTATTTTAACGCAGGCGTTCACGGACCACATCCGTCAGCTTGCAAATTTTGAGTACCGTCGTTTTACATTTTCCAAACTACCTCTCTGTTAATTTAAAGGCAACCATACTTCTTATGCTACGGTTTCTTTATATGCATATTAAGCGGTTGATTCCATTTCTTGAAATGCCTTTCCGAATAAAATAGAAACGAAGCATTTCTGTTGTAATGCTGTTGTTATCTGGTGAGACTAACGGATATTGACACTAATTAAGTAAAGCAAATACTTTCTGAATTTTATCGAAGCCGATTGCATGGAGACGACTTTTACACTAATTTCGAATGTGATATTAGAGCCAGGGGAAGAAGAGACCATCGCTGGTTTTGGGGTATCATAATTTAACCGTTTGACCCGTGCCACAGAGGACAACTGGTTAATAAGTTATCAAGCTAGATGTTGGTATCACCACAAAATACCATTCCAGGCGAATGCAATGCACCACCTAAATGAGTTCGTTTAACAAACTACATAAATTTTAAAGATTATACATTATAGCAAGCAGATTAGACCAACTAAGACAATGCGATGTCCTTGCAAGTACATTTATATTGCGGGAGAATTACATCGTACTTTTAGTTGTCAAGATTCCCTACCAGGTGAGGAAATAGCTTTATAATTGGAATACTACACATAACATGACAATGTATATTTTTGCTTGAGAATATGTACAAGACTTGTCTAGTATACCTGCGTCGTAGCAATGTCTAGCTAGATAAACTCCAAATTCGTCAAACAAAATTGGATCTCTCGAACAAAATGTGCTATCAGTTTTGGGTAAATGCCCGTGGTGTTTAGAAAGGGATTATTCGATGTTGAATACAGGTCAGGTCAAGTGTTTATGACACAGCATTACCTCCATCCATTCTAATTAGCAGTAGAGGTGTTCTGAGCGTATTATATTATAAAATTTATTACAAATTCAAATCTATAATCTCTGTAAAGTTAATGTGTAGTGGACCATCTATTTTGCCCCGATAATCAGCATAGCAGAGCGGAAGGTTGTTTTGAAAGACTGTAGGTTCCGTTCGCATTCTTTTTTGAATAACATCTGCATCACGTCGTCTCATACCACCAGTGACCCTTGAAGCATACTGCACTCTATCTCTCTTTCGATAAACAAGATTCCGAGTTACGCTGTCTGGGAAATTGGCGGCTATATAAGCAGAATGTCAATCGCAATCAAAAGAAAATCTCCTGTGCGAAGCTATGTACACTTGGTTTGTATCTGTCTATTTGCTGGCATTTGCTGGCCAGTCAGACGCAATCGGTAAGTATACATCACACAGTCGTCTAGTAGGAACACCGTTCGCTCTCATATGCTTTCTGATGCTATGGTCCATTAGTGCATGCTCAAATTAAAATCAAACAGTAGCACTACACGCCTAACTCCCTTATCGATTATTGCTTTCATACGCTTTATTTTTAGTGAAATTGTCTGTCCAGTTGTCGGCCCTTGCATTGAAAAGAGATAACGGCGACATAACGATGGTGCATTCGAAGGATTCTTGTCCCCTAGTAAGTTACATAGCTGCAACCATTACATTCGAACCAAATGCAACGTTTGGTATAGTATTCAGCGAATTCAATGCAAGAAGTTGTACTCATTAACTACTAGCGCTCAGATAAGAGTAATCAAAGATAAGATGAATCAGTGAGATAACTAAGCGAGATAACTTTTGCAGTCTACTCCCTCTTCACCGTCTGATAATATACCACACCCACCGACAGGTCAGTTGACTTAACGGCAGTAGTACTTTGTTATTCCAATCAGGTTTGAAAGCAACCGATGACCCATCTCTATAACCAGAATCTTTACTCAACAATATTAAAACACTGGTTAAATGGGTACTGTAAACTTTGGTCGTTTTCAGATCTCAGGCACTTGGAAGGCCGTTATGCATAAAGTTCAGACGACAGTATTAAGATGACTAGGTGTTTAGCAACTAGTATTGAGTGTTTATCGCATTGTGTGACGTTTAATTCTTCCGTTTCATCAAAATTATCTATCGTTCTTTAGTTGAAAACACGGGCTTGGCATAACTGGATTTCTGGACTTTTTATGGACTGCAGCTCTTCACCCGTCAGAGCGCAGGAAACGGCCCCCTGGTATCCCCTACAAGTTACAATGAATGAGACAAAATTCCCCGTTGACTACCACAAGTTACCGACGTTTGCAAAGGAATGGCAAATCAACCGTTTACTCAACGCCGAAGCAGAGACTTGTCAAACTACAGTCAAACTACTGTCAAACTACAGTCAAACTACATTCACAGAAGACGAGCGTACTAGCCTTGGTGAGTTTTTATCCTAAGTGTCTAATCTAAGCAGTTAGATATTCGTTGTGTTCACCCAAGTATATACATTTATGCATCATCTTAATCATGGAATGGCTGATTGGAATTATGGACACACAAAGTGAGCTCGGCTTGTCACCATTAGGCACTATAAGCTTACTCTACAATGTAAGCTGAATTTTCTGTTGCTAAGAGCTTCAAACCGTTTGTTCCGCAGCCAGCGAAAATGAAACGACTGCTGGTAAGTCACGTGTATGACACAGCGCATTCAGCTTCATGCAGAACTCGAAAACATGAACCATTGATACAAATTTTCAATTTGAAGCAAACACCGATGAATTAGCTGGTTATAATTGCTTTGCCGCGCTTCTATCATTGGAGCTATCCAAATCACACATTTATGCGTGATTTTCAATGTCGGCAAAGCGGCAACAGCCGTATCTAATTTTTATCGTAAACATATATATAGTGTGTGTTTTGAGGTTTTTCATACATCTTCTAAGACAACATTGATAACACAGAACACTTGAGATTAGTATTAATAGCCATAATCGGCTCCACTTCCCTGCCACTTACTTCCCTCCTAGTATAAATTTTCACTTATGATTGGAATAATAGAGTAAAATTCATCCACCTCAGCCGCCAACAGACAATATTTCGATCGAGGACACAAGTCAAATAATTCCACTTAGCCTCATTAGAAAACAGCTTGAAGAATGGTAAATAGAAATCAGGTTAATTGCACCGCTTCAGTCTATCTTTATCCCACATTTGTTTAGCAAGGCATCCCTATTCCAACTCCGCCTAAGATTTTGAGAAAGTCAGCTACAAGTGTACTCATTTACTGGTAATAAATTAGGCACCAGAGCGCGTTCCTCGTTGAAACGTTCACTCATAAGTTGGGTCATTACAGTACACTCGCAATTAATTCTAATTACTTTTACAACTGTTATGAAGTGATCGCTTAATCGTGTGCACCTTTGACAGGATACATTCTAACTGGGCCGGCAGATACAAACGTGTGCAGAAAAGTAAGTTCACTAAAAATCTCAGCCATTTTCGTACGCGGGCTATCCGATTACACTAACGAATGCCTATGGGTTGTCAAACGAAAACCATTTTCGAGATTTGCAGAAAACAGTGGCTGAGAGTTGTCCCCCATGAATTTACATTTTACACTCAACGGAAACTTCTCCTGTGGTTCTTTTACAATTAATACACAGATTCGGAAGATAAAAAGATTCGTTGATGGAAAGTTCAACCCCACGAAATGTACCAAAATGGGAGAAGACGTGGAGCCAGGTCCAAAACTGAAGCGGATAGTGCAATATAGGCTGGTTGTACATCAAAAGATTTCAACCACTTTTGGTCCGCAGGAAAATTCACTGATGTTCGTCATCGAATTAAATGACGATGAATGCCGTTATAATGGCTACTGGAGGCATCACTAAGAGTAATCAGCTACTACGTCTACACTAATCAAGAGCGGCAAGTGAGTGTGTATCATTTCCCTAAACAACTAGAGCGAAGTTAGCTCAATCTTATATATTCGTACATTGTTTGTTCTTTTGCATTTCAGGTGATCATATAATTTCAGGTGCATTTGTAATCACCATAGTTGTTCCGTAGTGTTCTTTATAACAAAATACATTTGGCACAACACATGTGTTTCTTTCCTTAATAATCTATCCTTGTCCATATCCTACCAGCTTTGTAGATCTATCACGTCGAATCGATTAACTTATACCGTACCATACTCAGCTCAATTAAGCAGACACAAAGAAAGTTATTCTCAACTTTAAACCGTACGGGCAACCTGGACATTTCCATGCACAGCGCAACGAGTACTTTTGCTTATTAGGAGTTCAGGAAATACTAACGCATTATATCCGTCGATGCATAAATACTTAACCCGCCGACACAATGATGTGGACTTGTTTGCAAGCGCGCGTTAACACAACATATCGCCAATTGTCAATTGGAATTTAAATGTTAGTGAAGACACTTATTGTGTGTTTATTTTGACTGTCGAGATTGGTAAAGCTCGTGAACCAGAGGAGCTGTAAGACCGCAAGTAAAGGAAGATTGTACGAGCAACTAAAAGGGTAGATTTTAAGTAGCCCAGCTGGGTTTATAAATGCTGCTGAAAGAGAAATCAGCTAGGTGTTTACTTGCTGGTAACTGGCTGTATGTAGTGCACAATAGGTAAGTATAAAATATTAATTACCTCTGTTTAAACTTTTGGAATACCGCACAGCAGTTAAACTCAGCTTCGACCACGGTTCACCCTGAAGCGAAATCCGATCAAAGGATTCAATAACCAAAAGCAGCTGAGGAGCCATCTAGTGCCACTTCAAAACGCACCTTTGAGACGGGGCAAAGTGCTAGCGATTTGCAACTGGTAAGCTGTTTCTTATTGACGGTGGATTGATCAGGAGCAGAACTTGCAATATCAGCAATGTAGAGGCAATAAGGTGGATAGGGATTTAGAATACGTAATCACATTTCTACTACTGTGGCGCAGAGGTCATGTGCTACCCACTGGATAGACAAATAAACGGCCGAATCTAGGTGATGGTAAGAACAGAGAATGTAAACTAAGCAGCGTTTTATTAAAAGCACTTCAGCATAGCGAAGGCTGGAAATAAGACACCAAAATCAAAGCTAGGGCAGATGTACTTGCGTGCAGATGTTGCAGATGGCCGGGTGTAGGCGTTCGCGTTTGTGGTAGAAAGACAGTTTCGTGTGCTAACTCAAACGCACATGAACAACGTTTAAGACCATCAAGCCGCGTAATGTGTTATGCACATGATAAACATATGAGTTCAAATATTTTACACAACAGTCTTCGATCAACCTGGGGGAAACTGCAGATAATTTATTTCACATATGTTCCTAACAAGAACGGCTGTGCCGTAATGTCACAACCCGAAAATTCACCTCATCCAGTTAAATCAAAATAATAAACATATATATAAAAGAATATTTGATTTTGTATTACTTTTAAGTAGCAGGATTTTAGTTGCACATTTTTATGTTCCTTCCCAGCACCGCACAACCTACATAGCTCAACCGCAATCCGGAAACCCACCAGACGCCTTTCGTCCTGATGGTCCTTGTCAATAGTGCTCATTTCCTCGATCCCCTACTGAAGATCGACCTCATGAACACTGGATGCTGACGCCAGGTAGCCACCTGTATAAGCCACGGAGTCATGGGGGACGGCAGCTGGGCTACATGACTTGCACGACTTGTCTTCCACCGCCAAGCATTTTAGTACACTCGCAGATTGCATTTGCTATCCTCTAGGTCATATCTTTCTCACACTATATCCTATATCCATTGCATTGGGAACTAAAAGTGGCTACTCTTAACTATACAAACGTAGCCTCTCCTATTTTCAAATACTATGGAAATAACGTGTAGTGATAGAAAGTAATGACCTGGAGATTAGCTACTGATTGTAACCTGTGTGGCAGTGGAAGATGGGTCTTGCTATTTCAAAGTTAGCTTGCAAATTATGTGACTTAGCTGTCGTCCCCCATAGCTCAGTTGCTTCAACTGCTGGCTAGTTAGCGTCAGCCCCCAGCGGCCAAAGTATTGATCCCCAGTAGGGGGGTTGAGGGGATGCGCATCAATTACGAGCCCTAATAAGGCGAAATGCTTCTGGTGCATTTCTGGGTTGCGCTTTAGCTATATAGCCTCTGAGTTGCTGCTTCGTCTAGTGACCAAGCGGTAATGGATTGGCTTTCCCGTATCTGCCAGGCTATGTCTAGTTTCATCACCAACTATTTTGAAGGCACAGCTGACGGCCATTATAATTCAGGACAACAGCCTCATGGTACATGTCAACGCGAACCGTTTGATGGTTCCTCTTGACTGTGAGTTGTAAGTTGTGGGTGGATTAATGGCAGTTCAGTAACCGCCTCGTGGCTGTTTACATAACTCAGTTTCCTGAGTTGCCAAGTCGGAAGAACTTAAATTTCACTCGTTGTATAGCTGTGATACAATATCAGGAAAGCAGCGTGTATGTCTTTTTCCGATGCACTAAAATACCTATAAGTTTGCGCACCGTGATCACTGCTTATGGTGTTCAAACCCTTACATACTGACCAAATATCCAAAGGCTCAGTGGTTTCCGGATAATAGTCCTTAACTGGTGTACTTAACACAAGCTGAAATCGGCTGGCGTTTGTCATCAACTAGCGAAACCGTCCATTAATTAGTATGTAGTG